TTGCCTGAGCCCACAGGTTCAAGGCCAGCCCGGGCAACTTGGCGAGACCATGTCTCTACAATAAGTAAAGAAACTTAGCCGGGCATGGAAGCAAGTGCCCCTGTAGTTCCAGCTACTTGGAAGGCTGAGGTGGAAGGATCGCTGGAGCTCAGCAGGTTAACTCTGGGGTGGCCATGAGTGTGCCACTGCACTCCAGCCAGGGCGACAGAGTGAGACTCCAACTCAAAAAAAAAAGAGTAGGCACAATTATGAGAGGCCGGGCATATGCCTGGGGTGTGGGCACCGCTTCCCTGAAGAGGTTCTAGGGTTGTCTGGGAGAGAAGGATTTCCCAGCTCTCCCTGCTATCAAAGAACAGAACACATCTCTTTTCTGGCTGGTGAGAAAGACCCCTGAGCACCCAGTGGGTGTTCCGCGCTTATTTTATTAATTCCCCTCATTCCTAAATGCCACCTGGTCTTTACCCTCATTGGCCTCACTTGGAGCCCAGAGGCTGCTGGGACAGTGGCCCAGCCACTGAGGAGCACCAGCCCTGAGCCCCGCCCTGCACTAAGTAACCGACATGTGTCATCTCTGCAGTCAGTGGTGTCATCCCCGTACTGGTCCAGATGACGATGACCCAGGTCATTGTGCCAGCATAATACATTTAAGATCTGGACCATTTTTATTCCCTCCAGGTTCAATGACACCTCCTCCCCACTCCCCCAGGTCAAGTGATTGACTGTTCAGCTGCTCAGTTTGCTTAACCTTTTTTTTTCCCTCCAAAAGCCACAGTTCTTTAAGGAGATTAAGCTGAAAGTCTCAAAATGCACGAGAAAAGAAAGTGTCTCAAGGAAAAATATCAAGAATGGAGACACAACTAAAGGCCATGATCTAACCACAGTGTTTTGTTAACTTCCAAGCTATTTTGAAGTTTAGAGTCAATTGCCAATACTTAAAAATCAGGAACATTTGCACCAGAGTCTGCATTTCTGGGTATTTTTAAAAATGCAGATGGACCACACTGGGCCCGTGCTCCCCCCACCTAGCGGCCACTAGCTGGAATTGAGTGTCAATCAGCACTTTCAGAGACAGCCTGTGTGTGCCCACTTCCACAGACCCACCACTCCCTCTTACCTTACCGAAACCAGCTTCACTCACTGACATTCCCTACCTGATCGCTAAGCTTATGACCCCGATCAAGAAAGGGGAGAAACCACCCAAAGACTAGAAAAGCACTTTTCCAGGCTGGCAGGAGAAGAAAGGAGAATTGGGAGAGGCTTATGGGTTTATGGAGACAGACCTGCATGGAAGGGGCCACAAGAACAGACACAAGCAGTGGCACACTGGGGAAGTATTAAACAGTAGCTCTCCAGGGTAAAGGTGTGTGTGTGTGTGTGTGTGTGTGTGTGTACGCACATTTTACTGAGATAAAAGTTGTGTTTGTTGCACACACTTTACAAATAATAATAAACTGTTTTATTATAAATGCTCTTTATTGTAAATTCCAAGTAGCCCATTCATTCTTACAAAAGGCTTTTTTTGGCATTTTGCCAAGTAGAACCAGCCCGTGAATGCAAATGCTTGATGATGCGTGACCTGGCATGGGAGAACAAGAGAGGTCTGGCCTGAAGGCCCGTAGACATTTTCGTTTACATTAGTGAGTAAGACAAAAGCAAGATAGTGACGGTATATGTCAGAACTCCTTCATCCATGACACCAGCAACCATCTGCTGAATTGGATCAGAGTGTTTGCACACTGAAAGAATATTCCCTCAGTTTTTTTTCATGCCAGTCACCATGTACGTGCTACAAACAAGACCTACATTTTAAGTTTAATTTGCCTTATTGACCTTTTACTCAGCACATTCTTAAGTCTAGAAGATCAACAAAACAGTAAGTCAAGCCTGACCTGTAGTGCTTTCTACTCTCTGGGATACAAACAGTCCCTAAGCTGTTAAGCAATCAATGACTTATGTGACATCACTGAACATAGACCTGGAAAAGGCCCGGTCTCTGCCCTGGGCCCCCATGAGATACACTCCATATAAATAACCTCAAGAACACAGATAACAGCAAAACAAAGTTCAATCATTCAGAGGTGATGTGTTTTGGGTATTAAGTGCCTTTAATATCATTGATTTAATTAAAAGTTGAAATCTTTTAATTTTTTACGATGGCTGTGGCTAACAGCTTGCAAAATCCTGAAAATGAAACAATCAGTTCTCACAAGCCAGCACAGGCAGCCCCAGCTACAGGGAAGTATCTAGGAGGGAAGTATCTAGAAACTGAGAGGAGAGACGCGAGGAGCCAGGGCCCTGGAGGTTGTAGCAGCACCCACGTTTGCAGGCGTAGATGACAAAGCATCGGCCAATACCGGCACCCGGTTCTGTCCCAGCTCTTCACTCTCCTTGGCACCGGAGCTCCTTCTTGTCAGTTCCCTTTCTAAGTGACCCC